GGAAAGAAATGGATATTATTATTAATGTTTGGAGTTCTTCAACGTGTTCATTACTGCAACAATGGCATCTACTGGGTCAGTAAATTCCCGCATGTGTTTGTGCCCCAGGATCCAGTCTGGTTGGATTTGTGGCTGTTGTTTGATGACGTGGGGAATGCAGACAGATATACTGGAAACCATGCTCTTGGAACACACGGAAGATGACAGGAATGAAGATGATAGTGTGGTGGACAATCGAGCTTTTGTTATTTTCCTTTCCTCTTCCATCTTGTGACGTCGACAGGTAAGATAATGGAGGCTTTTTATCTTGTCAATCACATTCTTATTAGATTTCATCACCTGCAACACAGAAAAGGTAAGACGTGCATTTAGTTCATTCCATAAGAAGGATACTCTTTCAAGTAAAACGATCATTTTCAGATATTTACTGACAATCACAAAAAATAAGAATTAAACGTGTAGATACAAGATATTCACAATTAATTTTATTCATACAAACCAATATTATTACAAGGTGTTCTCTCGTGAACACCCTGTCAAAGCTGACCAAGTTAGAAAAGTTACAAAATATGAACACATTGTAAGAGTTAAAAGGATCATTACAACAATCTTCTGTTATATTGTTGTTTCCCGTGATCAGTATCCATTTTTACAGTTAGTCTAGTCTGATCAGTATCATTTTTTACAGTCTAGTCTGATCAGTATCCTTTATTACAGTCTAGTCTGATCAGTATCATTTTTTACAGTCTAGTCTGATCAGTGTCCTTTTTTACAGTCTACTCTGATCAGTGTCCTTTTTTACAGTCTACTCTGATCAGTGTCCTTTTTTACAGTCTACTCTGATCAGTATCATTTTTAGTATATTTCTTGTTGGTTTATATTTATTTAAAAAATAAAAACAAACTAATTGAGTTTACTTAAAACACTAAAATAGGCATAAAAGATCCAATAACTTATCACTATCTCCATATTAGGTAATTCCATTTTTACAACTTCATATCACAACAAACACCCGAAAGATCTTAGACACCATCATTTCCGGATGTTTCTATTTGGCCGCTCCTACAACTCTCTCCCTTGTAACAAATTAAAAAAAAAAAACGATCATATTTTATCTATTTTTTTTTAAATTTTACTAGATGGTCAACAACTGAAGATGTCATCATTACCGAGGCTTTCTCAGGATCCTGGAAGAAGATCCACAACAGCGTACAGACTTTCGAGAAAATGGCTTCACCCTTCTCTCTGTAGATTCGCATGAGGTCCAAGAGAGTATCCAGGGAACCAATCACTGTCCATACAGAATCCACCGTTTTATCATACTGTTGATGTGGAAAGAAAACAAAACATTAACAATGTGTTATCACAGTAGTAAATGGTAAGAATGTGAAGTTAAGCACGTATTGCAGAGAGACCCCTGAAATTATGCTTAATAATTTCCAATCAGAATCAGATACGTACTTGGATCAAAACTAATCTGATAACGAGTATAGCTAATTAAATACACTTTTCTTACCTTCTTAATTACAAAAACTAGAATGCTTTGTTCCATCAGAAGGTTACTCTCACCGTTAAAGACAATTTTGGCCATAAATACATGACACAGTTACTTTATATACAATAACACTGTACAAGGTAGCTTAAAGAAATACTGTACCTGCATACTTGAATATATATATATATATATATATATATATGGATTTATTTTAAAACAACAAAAAAGATAAAACCCTAGAACTGTTGACAGATAAGCCTGTCTTCATCAGGAGTAGTCAAGTTTGAACACTTTGGTTTACGAGTTATTTTAATGTGATTTACCGACTTTGTTTTTATCCCTTCTGTTTCATTCTCTCATGAATATGTATACATTAAAACTTAAGTACAAGTCACAAAAAGGATGCAGTTAAGTAGGGTTTTTATAGTAATAGCTGAAGAAAACCGTTTTTTTTTTTTCCAGAGGGGCAGATTAAGGGTCAGACAGGCCTCAAGCTAATTTTTTTTTATACAGAGTCCATCAAGAATAGACTGAAAACTATGAAAAAAAAACTAAACGTCAAAATGGGCCTCTTTTTTTTAGCCCAGGCTACAGCCCCCCCTCCCCAATCTGCCCCTTTTCCTGTTTAGAACTGCGAATGATTAGTGTAAGGTCCATACGTTATGGTGACAAACAAAAGAATATGAATATTTCACAGAACATAGAAACTAATAGAAGATACTTAATATGAATTTTAAGCCAGGTGTTAAACAATTATTATGTTTATAAAAATTAGTTTAGAGATAAAATTAAAAAAAAAAAAGATAGTTAACATGAAACCAAATATTAACTTTACCAATATTATACTGCTGTTATGAAAACGTGCAATATTTGGTAGGATTTAAATTTAAAGAAACTATATATATATATATATATTACACAATCAGTTGATTTTCATGTAAGAAGTTCATGAAAAGTCTTGTTTTTACAAATAAAATGACCAAACAAAGAACATTAATACTTCTAAAGCAGAACTTATGTTGTCATGGAAACAACCCAATCTCTGTTGTTGCAGTAACAGAGCGTACAAACCTTAGCTAGATTCAGCAAGATGTTTGTGGAGTATTTAATCAACTCCATGTGAGGCAAACTTCGATTACAGCTCCGTATCAGCTGGAAGAGGATTTCTACGGCACTTCCTTCTGCTATCTTCTCACAACAAGATGCTGAGAGTCGTGTAACAACATCTGGGAAGTTACATAACATGTTTAACTTTCAAAAAATATACACAACCTTACAAAGCATGTTATGGACAATGTAAGTAGCTTCAACATAAGCACGTTAAGTGAACTGTAAAGTTTTTAAAAGAAAGGAAGATTAATATTAACATAAATAAAATGGTTTCACAACCACACACACAGGTAGTTTTTTTTAAATAGTTAAACCAAAGTTTCGATATAAACTCCTACCTACATTTGTTAAGGGAACTTACTAAGAGGAATGTGAAGAAAAAAAATATCTACAGTCAGGCACGAATTTATCACTTTTGTTAGGCCTAAAACATCTACTAAAGTCAGGCATGATTTCATGACTTTTGTTAGGCCTACAACAGTTGAGCATGATTTTATAACTTTTCTTAGGCCTAAAAAGTCTATCATTTTTCCAGCTCAGATATTCTACACCACTACATATCATTCTGTAACAAACAACCTCAACATGATCTCACAGGATTATTATATCCCACATTTAAATTATTCTATTTTAGAAAACATTTTCACTATTTAATAAGTTTTCCAATTTAGTACAACAAATGAAGGTAGAAACCATTTAAAATCTGTAAGAAGATTAAACACATTTTTTTTTATGAAGTTTTCCAGAATGTAAGAATAATTACTCTTGGTCCCAGAAGCAGAAATAACTTCATATTTTTAAAATGTTAACTCTAGCTTTTAATTGTTTGCAAAGATGATTCCAACAGATGGAATCTTGTATAATTGTTACTGTTTGGGTATTGTATCCACTTTCAGATTTAAAGATGAAGAGCAAAAGTACGATACAAAAGTGTTCATAATTCATCAAGTAATTAAGTAGTTATAATTCATTCTTCAACTTACAAAAATCTCAACAAATAACAAAAGTTTATTGTATTTATATATATTCATCTTTTAATGCCCCAAAATTCTAATTAGACACCTATCAAACAGATTTCAGGCTTCCTCAATAGGGGTGGATAATTACGCTGAAGCCCATTTCACAGGTTATCAAGTCATTTATAGTTAAAATCAGAAACTACGTGTGTTGAGCCAAATATTAATGGATTTGACACAGTCTAGTAAAAAAGTACACAACAATACACAAACACTCGAAAGTTATACAACGTCTAAATGTTTATGATAAACATGATTTTCACAATATTCTATGACTGCTCTTAGGCTTCCTTCAGTCTCCCAGTACATTTTCTCGATGCTTGGACTAGAAGCGAGTATTAGGAAGTAACAGAGAAATGAACTGGAACTCTGAAGACATGTTAATATTTCCAAGAAACTGAAGAAATTTATAAAATATTGCAAAAGTGCTATTTAAAAAAAATAATTAAGAATAGAACAGATAAAACTAAAAAATCATAACTATTTTATTTACATTTTTTTTTTTCTATGGTAATACAAACTTAACGCATGAACGGAGATAAATCAATACCTTGTCTGAAAGAGGTAAAATTTTATACATTGTTCTCTACGTCATCCGTCAGTATTGAAAAATTCAAAACATTTATTCTCTAATTATTTTTAGCCAAATTGCAGCTATATTTTATGGGTTTATATGCTTTATGCTAAAACAAAATTTCAGGATTTTCAGCACCCACAAGAAAGTTTGGTCTCGTGTAAAACTCGTATAATGATTTCTCTCCTCTGTTTTTCTATTTATGACTCTTGAGAGTGTAATTAAAACAAATGGGTGCCATAACATGAGAGCTAAAAGAATTTTTTTACGGACTTACCTAAATGCATGAGTGCAGACAAGCGGTACGGACTTACCTAAATGCATTAGTGCAGACAAGATGTACGGACTTACCTAAATGCATTAGTGCAGACAAGATGTAAGATAGGTTTCGGCAACGTAATAAGAAATCTAAAGCTGAAGCTGTTCGATTACATAATTTCTTATCTTCGGTAGCATTTGCATTAGCAGTTTTCAGCCTGTCTCTTATCGTTTTCAGTTGACGACTCTTAAGTTTGCATCGCTGTAGGTGCCCTCGCCAAGCAGCCTGATATCAAAAAAATGTATTGTTACAACATTAATTTTTTAACCAATGATATACAGAGAACATGAAAAACTGACAACACATTTACCTACAAAAAATTGCCATAAAGTTAATTTTTCTTTCTATCACATATCTAAACAAAAGAGACTAATTTATACGTAGACAAAAAACCTAACCACTACAACTAAACACAAGTCGTCTCAATATTTACACATACAATAATAATCTAACCACTACAGCTAAACACAAGTTGAATCTAAGTTTCAAATGGACGGCAACTGCCTGTTGTAGAAACCTACAAATGTGGAGGATGACGTTTCGAAAGTCTTCCGCCCACTCTGCCTAAACAACCTATCAAAGATAAACAAAAGTTGTCTCAATATTTATAGTAATATAACAGAAACGGGGTTTGTTGACTTTAAAGAATGCAGAAGTTCATGACCTTTAAAATTTCCAGGACCAATCAACCCATTAACAGACATATATCACATGACAGGATTTGGCATATCTAGAAACTAAATCCGCTAAACGAGAACACTTAAGGAGAAGACTACAACAAAACTGAAATTGTTATACTGATGGTTATTAACAGATCAATTAATCAGATTAAATAAAATCAATGCAGGAAACTTTTGGATGTCAGCAGAATTATAATAAAAGAACTCTGGATCAACCCATAACACTCATCCTGTCTTAAAATGCTGGTGATTTGTGTATTTATTTCTTCTCTTCTGCATGCATGGTGCCACACAAAATGTACCTTGATCTCCTGTCATCTTCTCAGACCACTCAAAATTCATCACACAAACGTCCATTTAACAGGCATTTTTTAAGAATAACTTATTAAACTCATAAATAATATTCAACGTTAAACTGGTACACATTTAAAAACATTTTATTTAGGCCTATCTATGGCCTTCAAAAAGTTGACGACTCTACATGTTTCGACGTTACAACGTCATCCTTGGGAGTGAATTACAAGACAATGACCTACTAACAAGTTATAAATACTTTGGCAATTGTCTTGTAATTCACTCCCAAGGATGACGTTGTAACGTCGAAACATGTAGAGTCGTCAACTTTTTGAAGGCCATAGATAGGCCTAAATAAAATGTTTTTAAATGTGTACCAGTTTAACGTTGAATATTATTTATGATTTTAACTTTATACACAAGTGCCAAAATACTATAAACATAACTTATTAGTTGCATATATTTGATTAATGCAAAAAATACTCTTTGTTGAAGGCAATGAATGACAAATAACACAGACCTCTTTTACACTTTGCGCTACCAAATGAGACACATTGTTTATAGTTAACCATGGATGCATTATGGCACAAAATCAATAAATGTTCAATATTTTGACCTTATTGTGGGAAACGTCACAACAAGAATGGCGGGCCTAAAACAGCTTCGAGGTCAAAGATGATTAGACACTGGGCAAATCTGCTATAGCTATACTGCACACAAATTTTGTAATAAGCTAGTCACCTATTTGATTTTACCGGACATTCCACGATCACAACTAAAATTGGGTCGGCTCTCTAGGATTAAAGCTAATTCAAAATGTTTCTTAGGCTCCTCTGTAGCCCCTGCACTCAACAAAAAGTGTTTACTGTTCCGGCTGCTTCACTTTCTAACTTCTACAGCATGTGTACCTACAAGATGTAGCACACTTCTCCCTCAATATTTTTTAACTAGTCCACCCTTCCCCCCAACCCCAAACACACATCGGGAAGAAGCTGGTGTCACCCTTGACTTTCAAGATCTGGAAGACGCATTTTATTCCGACAGGAATTCCGTGAGCACTATGAACCCTATAAAACTCTGACCACTACAACTAAACAAGTCAACTAAATATTTATGCTAAAGTTTAGTGCGAGTTAAAATTCAATCTTTATATTTTAACTTACAATGTATTCTTACTAAGTTAACTTTGATTCACTGTATACAAACCTGTAGAACTGTAGCTGAATCGTGCTGCTTTGCTAACCTCCTACGAACCAACCACAAACGCACTTGTGTCTGTATTATAGATGCCGCCTTTCCTTGCTTAAGAAGATAACTACGGGCAGTTCTCTGGAACAGTATTAAGTTCTGTCGCAGCCGTAAAAACCACAGTCTCTGCAAGCATCCCCTCATCCACCTCTGGAGAAGCCATAAAATACTTATTGTAAGACATCACAAGCTGTACAATTACGATAATAAAATTTGGGCAAAGCAAGGTTAGAAAAATAAGCAGCAGTTAGAAAAGAATAGAGTGTCATGTTCTGTTTCATTTTCCCAAGGCACTAAGACGTACATTAATGTTTAAAGAAAAACGAATTATTTCAAATTTACAGCTAAAGCATGCCATATTAGCTCAAATATAAGGCCAACATCTTAACTACAACAGTAGTAATAAAAAAAAACATGATGGAATTGTCCTTATTTCTGATTATAACTATAAATACTCAAAAATAAAATTTTACATTTCTTCTAGGTAACACAACAGTCAGTGTACGGTTTTAGAAAATTGTCTTTAAACAATTTGTTTACAACAACATTAAGACATCCAAGTGCAAAGCCAGCCATCCCTGTAGGGATCATCACAAAGTTCGTTACATTTAGCTATTAAATGAGCATAAAAATGCATCCTCTTCTACCTCATTCTTCCTTACTCCTTTGGATACTTGTCCGTTTTTGTTACCCATTTTTCCACGTGACAAACACTTCCTCCAGGCTTATCTATTTTAACCAATAATGATCTTAAAAACATAAATGAACTGAGCTCGTCACACTCTTCTTTCGGTTTGTTTGGAAGTTCACGGCAAAGCTACACGAGGGCTATCTGTCCCTAATTTAGCAGTGAAAGACTAGAGGGAAGGCAGCTAGTCATCACCATCCACTGCCAACTCTTGGGCTACTCTATTACCAATGAAAAGTGGGATTAACCATCACATTATAACACACCCACGACTGGAAGGGCGAGCATGTTTGGTGGGACGGGGATTCAAACCGATAACCTGCAGATTGCAATTTGAGTGCCCTAACCACCTGGCAATGTGCCAGGCTCACTTCTTTCCAGACACTCCCTTATATTTGGACTAATAAAGCCAGCTTAGGTGTTCTGCATCACTGGACTAGTTCTTTTGATTTTCACAAGTCTAGCTCTGTTGAAGAGATGTGGTATAACATGACATGTTTTCTTGACAGCGACTTGTGACAGACAAAAAGAGATATTACATGTTACTTGGACTCAAAAATCTGAAAAAAATTATTATTTAAGAGGAACACGGGGGAAAAGCAATTGCAGTCAAGCATGACTGAAAACATATTTTACTTCAATAGTTTCCCTCCAAAAACCTATCTATCAAAAAATATCTATTCTACAACAATGAAAAGGCACTTCAGATCTTCCACACACACACACACACAC